AAGCGATTAAGGACAAGGGTCAGGAAACAAAGAACGAGGGTAGCCAACCGATGCAAAGGCAGCAAACGAGGCCAAGGGGCACAGGACATAGGGAATCGATACATGATTAAGCGGAAATAAGGGCGTGTGCTTTGGCTAAGTCGACTTACTAACACGTAGTTAGTAGTAGATAAAAAACTGTTTTTGACATTGACGCACTGAATGCTACACCGATCGTTTGACTCAGCATATTTATTCCATTCTGCTGTAGTCCGTCAGTGCAGGCCCTTAGCGGAACAGACCGCACAATTAAAAAAAATGCGAACTAAGAGTACATAAACGGGTGGAAAACAGCTAGTACATAGTTGTTTGTTAACGATATGCGGCGAACAAAAGTAAACCTAATCTTATTCCCAGTCCTATACCTAATTCTAACTGTAACCTGATTTGTAATCTAAGCCGCAACAGTAACCCTAAAATAGCATGCCCACATGGCCTAAGTCTACTTTAGGTCAAATACATTATCCACACCGTCTTCTTAGCTAATAATATCGACAGTCGATAATGCCGTTTTTCTCCCCTTTTCTTAACCTTCAAACTGTTTTAGTTTCAGTCAAAAATAAAGTTTGCTTTTTATCACATTCCTCTTCTCTAGCCCGCTAAGCCCGATATCTGCCTCGGTGTGATGTGCACTGCTCTACACATTGCCTTCCGTACGCTGGAACAGACCTATCGCAACTTTGAGATGCTTTTTGAAAGGTGAGTATGATCCATTTGGGACCTCTTTGAGCAAAGGAGATGGTACACTTTTGGGGATTTAAGTTAAAATAGGCTTTTTTGGCTGATTCGCATAATTAATTTGATCCAGTTGTGAAAAAAACACAGCGGCCTCGGTGGGATTCGGATCTGCAACGGCAAATGTGTGGCCTGTGTACAGCCGACGCTCTACCCGCCTAAACAGCGAGGCCCCTATCGGGAGCTGTGAGTTTGCTAACATGGGGTTCATGTAGGCGGAACTTAATGAAAGTGGAAATTTGACCTCCTATTGGTGGAATTTAGTGAAACAATTGAAAGTGGGCTACTGAAAAGTTAAAAGTAGTTTCTGTTCTACCACCTATGCAGTCAACCTATTCGTGATGCAGCAAGCTGACTGCCAAGTAGGATTCCTTAAACAGTCAATCTAGATTCCACTAGACTGAGCAGAAGAAGCCTTGTCGATCACCGCAATCATAGTTTTATTAGTCTGAGCCTTCGACCTCTAGTGGGAGTCCATCGTCAGAGGTAAAATCGTCAACTAAAGCAAGCAACATTTATAGGGGGAAGGGGCCAATTAACCGTCATAGAGGGGGAGGGGGGGAAGGATGGGATCAAAGAACCACCAGTGTCGTGAGTCTGGAGATACCTGCGCAGGGCAACACATGCGGACGCCAGCTCGACACATCGGTTAAGTGAGTTTTCATCCGACGCCCAGGCTTCAATCAGTTCTCGGCCAGTCTTGCTGCCGGCGTGGACGATTATATTCGCAGTTGCAAAGTTGAAATCGTGACCCGTCTCGTAGGTGTGGACCGCCACTTGCGATAATGCCTCACCTCGTCGAACAGTCAGCTTATGTTCGTGTATGCGCGAACCCAGCATGCGTCCAGTCTGTTCCGTGTAATTTATGGGAACGTTTAGACATAGTATGCGATACACTACATCCGACTGCTCACTGGGATTTAATCGATCCCTAATTCTCATAACCCGGCTGCACATGGTAGCCTTGGGACGGTGTGCAATTCCGACGCCTATTCCCGCGGCAATGCGCTCGGTTGCTTCCGATACATCCTTGATATATGGCAGACTCCCTTATTTTATCTTTATCAAGTACACATTATTTCGTTTTTCTTTTTCTCTTTTACAGAGGTCAGTTCTTTCCGACAAACCAACTGAGCAACTGCGTTGATGTGACGCTCATCTCTGAGGGTGTCAAATATTTTCTACAGGTAGGTTGTGGTTTTCTGTTTGGTGTGTGAGTTGTGCTCTCTCTCTCTCTCTCACACACGACAATTAGATCCTCGTTTCGGGTGATGTCCAATCGCCTGCCCTACAGTCCGCTGGGTGTAGGACGTTGATTTACGCGTGGATTAGTTTATACAGTAGTCGTCGGCTATTAAGCCCACCTCGGGCCCAGACCAAATTGG